CCAGAGTCCACTGAGGAGCCACTCCTGGGGGAGCTGACAGTGACAGGCGCCTCCCCTGACTCCCTGAGCCTCTCCTGGACTGTGCCCCAGGGCCACTTTGACTCCTTCACCATCCAGTACAAGGACAGGGATGGGCAGCCCCAGGTGGTACGAGTTGGAGGAGAGGAGAGAGAGGCCACTGTGGGGGACCTGGAGCCTGGACGCAAGTACAAGATGCACCTGTATGGACTCCACCAGGGCCACCGCGTGGGTCCTGCATCTGCTGTCGGGGTGACCTGTAAGTAAGGGGCGGGCCCTTCACTCTGGGGTCCCTCTGTCTTTTTCTTTTTTCTTTTTTGGATATCAACACTGGACCTCTTGGTTCCTATTTTCTTAAATATTACTAATGATGTTGCTTGTCCTTGAATTGAATATTATTTATCACTTCATTTGTGGTGAAATGGGCATGTGGTCCATGCCCCATTTATTGTGGCTTCCCTCCTCCCACCATTATCCAGAACTTCTAAGTCACTCTATTTCTCATTAACTGCACCCTCAGGTTCCATGACTGGATATTTTATTGACTCCAAATGTGCTCCAGGTTTGGACTGTATAGATTTGAATCTGCCTCCAAGTGTACTAACTGATTTTGCAAGCTTTTCTTAACCCCTGTGGCCTCAGATCCTGCAGTATGGGGTGGTAATTTTATTAGCACTTTGTTGGAAGTTAGGTGCACTCTCAGGTGTGAACTGCTTACAGCAAAGCCTGGGATACAGGGAAGAGTTTATGGGGAAAGTCTCCCTTGAGCAGTTCCTGCCTCTATCCTCAGCCTCTTCTGCTCTCTTCCAGCCTCCCTCCCTACCCAGACTCCTGTGGAGCCCCACCTTGGGGACCTGGCTGTGGCAGCTGTGACCTTGGACACTGTGCACCTCTCATGGACCGTGGCCCAGGGTCCCTTTGACTCCTTCCTGGTCCAGTACAAGGATGCACAGGGGCAGCTCCAGGCAGTTCCCGTGAATAGAGACCTCCGTGAGGTTACTGTCTCGGGTCTGGACCCGGCCCGCAAGTACAGGTTCTTGCTCTTTGGACTCCTGGATGGGAAGCGCCATGGCCCAGTCTCTGTGGATGCCAAGACCCGTGAGTGCAGGACAGAGGCCACCTTTGTCTCTGGAGCTTGTGGCCTGCTCCGCCCCCTTGTGGTGACTGTTGGGATTTCATATTTCTGTGCCTCACACTCCAGACCTTAGGACCTCAGGACCCATTTATTTATCAGGTTTATTGAAATCCAGACCCTGAGCTTCTCTTCCCCCATCCCATTCCCATCCTTATCCCTACCCTGCTTACATCCCACTCCAGGAGACCCTTAGTTTCTTTGCTGACTTTTTTTTTTTTTTTGCAGTGCTTTTATACCTATTCCTGGTCCATTTGCTCCCTCATGTCCTCCATAACCATAGAACATAGCACACACACACACCCAGCAGTCTCTCTGCTTCCATCTCTGTGGCCATCACTCTCCATACAGCTCCCTCTCTTTTCCAGTCCCAGACAAGAAACCCTCTCCCCGCCTGGGAGAGCTGACAGTGACAGATGTGACCCCTGACTCCATGGGCCTCTCGTGGACGGTCCCTGAAGGCGAATTTGACTCCTTTGTGATCCAGTACAAGGACAGGGATGGGCAGCCCCAGGTGGTTCCTGTGGCCGCAGACCAGCGTAAGGTTACCATCCCCAGCCTGGAGCCAAATAGGAAATACAAGTTCCTACTGTATGGCCTGGCAGGCAGGAAGCGGCTGGGCCCCCTCTCTGCTGATGGCACCACAGGTAAGCAAGCCCCTGGCCCTGCCTCCTGCCCTTTCCAGAGCTGCCTCTTATTTGAGAGCCCAGAGTTGACAGCATGGCCTTCCCAGGAAATATATTCTCTCTTCAGCCTGGGCATAGCAACCATAACACCAAAAGAAAGTCCCTACTGTGTGCTAAACACAATTGTGAGCATTTCATATGCACTATTACCTTCATTCATAAACTGCTGCTGAAGGATTAAGAAGTAGGCTTTGGGCCGACCTGTGTTCAGATTCCAACTTCAGCCCTCTCCAGCCATGTGGCCATGGACATTGGCTTCCTCAACTGCATGATGGTGATGAATAATCCCCACTGGCACTCAGTTTGCCCATCCTTCTTCTTCCAATCCCAACCCTGAGGCAAGAGGTGGAAAGTAAGGGAGGGCTTGGCTGAAGAAAGACTGGAAAAATCTGGTATCCTTGAGCCCATGACTCAGCCCCCTGAGAAAAGGGTGGAGTGGGTCACTGACCCTTACCCACTCCCAGGACCCTGAGTCACCCTGTCCAGCCAGTCAGGGCTTGGGGCCCCACACTCCATTATTATTTTTTGGGGGGCGGGTACGGGGGATTGAACTCAGGGGCACTCAATCATTGAGCCACATGTCCAGCACTATTTTGTATTTTATTTAGAGATAGGGTCTCACTGAGTTGCTTAGTGCCTCACTGTTGCTGAGGCTGGCTTTGAACTCATGATCCTCTTACCTCAGCCTTCTTTGCTGCTGGGCTTATAGGCATGTGCCATTGTGCCCAACCAGACTCCATTTTTCTTTACCCCAAACTCTCACTTGGACACTACATATAGGTTCCTCTGATCTCTATCAACAGCCATCCCCATATGGGAGAGTTTCCTTTTCTCTGTTCTTTGTTCTTCCAGCTCTGCCCTACCCCAGCTGCCCTGGTCCAGTAGGATTAGTTTGGGACTGGGGAAGCAGGTGGGGGGATGGTTCAGGCTAATGGCCATGGCAGGACATAAGGCTGAGCAGTGATAGAAGCTGTGAGCTGCCTGGCTGCCTAACCCAGGTCTCCCACATGGGGGTGTCTGACAATCCAGACACCCTCTGAGAGTCTCTCAGCTCTCAGAGGCTGACCACAGCCCTGCTCAGAGGCTAGAGGTCAGAGGAAATTAAGGTCCCCCTCTGTACCACCCTTCTCTGGTGAGATGATCTTTTATGTTTACTGTCCCCTTGAACACAGCAGGGAGGGAGCAGAGATGGGAAGCGGGGTGGGCAGTGGCCTCCAGAGGGAGGACAGGGCTGCTATCCCTCATCCTGCAGAGCAGGCCTATTCATCCTTAGGTGGCTGTTGCAGAGACCACCTGGGGACCTTTCCAAGACCCTTATACCTCCCAGGAGTTGCCAGGGCTTGGGGTCAGGCAGGTCTTAACAAGGATTCTCCCTTATGCTCTCCACAGCTGCCCTGGAGAAAACCCAGCAGCCCCCACCACGCCTAGGGGAACTAGCAGTGACTGAGGAGACCTCAGACTCCCTGCGCCTGTCCTGGACTGTGGCCCAGGGCCCCTTTGACTCCTTCCTAGTCCAGTATAAGGACACCAACGGGCAATCCCAGGCAGTGCCTGTGGCCGCAGACCAGCTTGAAGTCACCATAGAGGGCCTGAAACCTGGCAGGAAATACAAGTTTCTGCTCTATGGACTAGTTGGAGGAAAGCGTGTGGGCCCAGTCTCCATCCTGGGAATGACAGGTGAGGCCTAAGGCTGTCCTGCTTGGCACTAGCAGGTAGCTTCCTTGCACCTTTGTGCTAAAGACTGACAGGAGTGGACAGGCCAGGAGAGGGAGCCTTGACCAGGGCCCAAGGAAAAGGAAAGTTTGCCACTAAGTCAGGCTGCCATTGATTACAGAGTTAGACAAAAGCGGAGCCAGGACAGGCGAGAAGGAAAGGTCTTGGTGGTGGTTCCCTTACTTGCTGACCCCAGTTTTTGCTCCATCATGTGGCTTCCCCCCACTACTCTGTTGGGGTATCTGTTAACCTCCAGACTGGGGCAAACTTTCCTGCCATGGATGAGGCAGGAGCATTTCCTCAAATGGAAAATCACTGGGAAACACAACAGATGAGGGACACAGAAGCCAGTAGATGTGACTGCATTTGTGGGGCAGGCTCCTCTTCCAGAGGTCACTGACATCCACATCAGGTCTGCCAGGTTAGAGGCAGCTGGTTATAGACTGGCCTATCACAGCCCGGCCCACCCTCAGCTGTTCTCAGAAAGAATACCATGTGTCCCAAGCCCCAAGCCCCATGATTGCCAGGCAGTCAGTACAGGGTGGAGCCTGTGCAGACAGCTAGAGGAGAGGCTGGATGGGATTGGGTAGGGAAGGGGAAAATACGTACTTGATCCAGACACAGCACAGGATACTTGGAAAGAGGATGAGGTCACAACAGCTTTCCAATCAGGGAACAAGCCTCAGGCATGTCAGGAATAAGTCAGATTTAAGAGATAGAAAGTCCTAGAAGAATTTAGCCCCTCTCTTCTCTCTACCTGATAGCCTAATCAGAACTATAAAGTCCCCACCCCGGCCTTGGGCCAGCAAGATGGAAAAAGCAGAGCCCCGTGGCACTTCCACTTAACTTCTTCTCTGGGCTCCCCCCCCCACAGCCCCAGAAGAGGACACACCAGCCCCAGAAGCCCCTGAGCCCTCTGAAGCACCGAACCTGGGAGTGCTGGCTGTGACTGAGGCAACCCCAGACTCACTGCGCCTGTCATGGAGTGTGGTCCAGGGCCCCTTTGACTCCTTTGTGGTCCAGTATCTGGACACAGATGGGCAGCCCCAGGCCCTGCTTGTGGATGGTGATCAGAACAAGGTCCTCATCTCAGGCCTGGAGCCCAACACCTCTTACCAGTTCTCCCTCTATGGTCTCCATGAAGGGATGCGTCGAGGGCCCATCTCCACAGAGGGCACCACAGGTGGGCCAGGCCTGGGTTGAGCCCGGTAAGGGGGCCCCCAGAAATGGGGATCACTTGAGGGCTTGAGGTGGTGCCCAGGAGAAGGCAGGCCAATGGACTCTAGGGCAGCTCTTTGCTCTGCTCCTACTCACAGCCACTAAAGGAGTCCTTTACCAGCTCTACTGTTGTCAGAGAAATATGCCAGGGCAGTGGCAGAAGGCCACTGGGCTGGTGTGTATCTGTCTCCAACCTTTCTTTCCCATCTGTTCCTCCCAGGGCCTCCTCCTGCTGGTCTGACCCCAGGAGACCCAGGGCCCCGACTGTCTCATCTGTCAGTGACTGATGTGACCACCAGTTCGCTACGGCTCAACTGGGAGGCCCCACTTGGAGCCTTTGATTCCTTCCTACTCCGCTTTGGGGTTCCATCACCAAGCACCCTGGAGCCACGTCCACGTCCTCTGCTACAACGGGAACTGATGGTGCCTGGGACAAGGCGCTCAGCGGTGCTCCGAGACCTGCGCCCTGGGACCCTGTACAGCCTTACTCTCTATGGGCTACGAGGGCCTCACAAGGCTGACAGCATCCAAGGCACTGCCCGGACCCTCAGCCCAAGTAAGGCCCCATTTGGGGCACCCACTAAAATGGACCTGGTACCTCAGCCAGAGGGAGGCTGGGGAGTGCGTAGGAGGTATGGAGGATTCTTGAGAGCAATTTTCATTCCTAAGAAAAGGTGTGGTGGGCACTTCTGGAGCCAGGAGGCCCAGGAGAAAGGGAGGGAACCTCCCTGCCCCTGCCCTCACCATCATCCTTTGATCCCATCCTCAGTTCTGGAGAGTCCACGTGACCTCCAATTCAGCGAAATTGGGGAGACCTCAGCCATGGTCAGCTGGGTGCCACCACCATCCAGGGTGGACAGCTTCAAAGTTTCCTACCAGTTGGCAGATGGAGGTAACGCTTTTCTGCCCATGTCCTCATCTGCTCTCTCATCTCTCCTGCCCCTGTCCTCTGTCCACCCCCAGTTGCTATGGAGTTCCCTGGGTAACCTCCTAGCCCCCAATATGTTTTCAGGGGAGCCGCAGAGTGTGCAGGTGGATGGCCGGGCCCAGACCCAGAAAATTCAGGGGCTGATCCCAGGTGCTCGCTACGAGGTGACAGTGGTCTCTGTCCGCGGCTTTGAGGAGAGTGAGCCTCTCACAGGCTTCCTCACCACTGGTGAGAGGGACTGGGCCAGCGCAGCAGGTGGAGGGAGAGAAAATGAGGGTGTGGGCAGGAGCCTGGAAGGAACCCAAGGGGAAGGGAGGGGAGGCACTGGAGCTCTGACTGTGGACAAGGGAGTAGCCAGTGAGCTCGGGAAGGTTAGGAGTAGGGACAGTGCTGGAGACCCCCTGAGCCCTTCCCTTCTCCCAGTTCCTGATGGCCCCACTGAGCTGCGTGCACTGAACTTGACTGAAGGATCCACTCTGCTGCACTGGAAGCCCCCCCAGAACCCCGTGGACAAATACAACGTCCAGGTTACAGCCCCAGGGGGTGAGCAGAGCTGAAGACTCCCTCTACATGGGATTGCTGGAGGTAGGAGAGCAGAGAGTGGCAGGAGCTGACACCCACCCCCATTCCCAGCCCCATCTCTGCAGGACTCCGCCCCCGGCAGTGCTGTGGACTACCCCCTGCGCGACCTGGTACTCCACACCAACTACACTGCCACTGTGCGCGGCCTCCGGGGACCCAACTTTACCTCCCCAGCCAGCATCACCTTCACCACAGGTACAGCCTGGGGTATGTGAAATGGGTAAGGAGAAGGGCAAAGGAACCGGGCAGGCCTCATCCCCATTATCTCTTCCCATCTTCCCCTCCCAGGGTTGAAGGCTCCCCTGGACTTGGAAACCAAGGAAGTGACTCCCCGAACAGCGTTGCTCACTTGGACTGAGCCCCAAGTCCTACCCACAGGCTACCTGCTCAGCTTTGACACCCCTGGTGGACAGACTCAGGTGCCTGCACCCCTACTCTATTAGCTACCTCCTCTCCCTGGATTGATTCGGAGGTGCTGGCTCTGGCTTCCTCAGGAGGTCTCTCCCTCCCCTGACCTATGTCTTGTCTGTCCCACAGGAGATCCTGCTCCCCTCGGGAATCACATCACACCGGCTCCTTGGCCTCTTCCCTTCTACCTACTATAATGCACGGCTCCAGGCCGTGTGGGGCCAAAGCCTCACACCACCAGTATCCACCTCCTTCACCACTGGTATCCAGAACTGGGGCCCGCACTGGGTGGGCTAAGGTTTGGAAAAAGAACAGGTTTCTCACGCTCCTCTCCACAGGTGGACTGCAGATCCCCTTCCCCAGGGACTGTGGGGAGGAGATGCAGAATGGGCCCAGCACCTCGAGAACCACCACCATCTTCCTCAATGGCAATCGCGAGCGGCCCCTGAATGTGTTTTGTGACATGGAGACTGATGGGGGCGGCTGGCTGGTGGGTGCCAGCTGGTGGCTGCCCTCCTCTTTCACACCCCAGGGATCTGTGTAGGGCAGAGACTGCTGCCCCTGAAGCCAGAGACTAATGCTGTTCCCATCTGCCTCCCAGGTGTTCCAGCGCCGCATGGACGGACAGACAGACTTCTGGAGGGATTGGGAGGATTATGCCCATGGCTTTGGGAACATCTCCAGGGAGTTCTGGCTGGGTTAGTGCCTCAGGGATTGGAGAACTAGGGAGGGGATGAAGGCCCTGTGGACATGTGGTCTCTGATGAAGTACCCACCCCTACCCCCAGGCAATGAGGCCCTGCACAGCCTGACACAAGCTGGTGATTACTCCATGCGTGTGGACCTGCGGGCTGGGGATGAGGCTGTGTTCGCCCAGTATGACTCCTTCCGAGTAGGATCAGCTGCTGAGAACTACCGCCTCCACCTGGAGGGCTACCATGGCACTGCAGGTAAGAGCAGGCCCAGGCCTGGGAGAGGGAGTGGGAAGGAGTGACCTCACCATTCCTTCCCATGCCCTGCCCAGGGGACTCCATGAGCTACCACAGTGGCAGTGTCTTTTCGGCCCGTGATCGAGACCCCAACAATTTGCTCATTTCCTGCGCTGTCTCCTACCGTGGGGCATGGTGGTACAGGAACTGCCACTATGCCAACCTCAATGGGCTCTATGGGAGCACAGTGGACCACCAGGTGAGAGGCTGGGGAGGCAGCAGGACTGCAGTGATTGGGGCTTGGTTCCTTGGGTGAAGCACAGGATGTGACAGAGTTGCTCATGCCTCAGGGCCCCATCTGTGAAATGGGATAATAATGTCAACCTTGCTGAGTTATCCCAATAAGATGATTTATTGGGTGAAAAAGGCCAGCTCAGGATTAAACCTCAGTCCTGGGCAGCTGAAGATTGCAATGGAAGCGGGGCAGGGTACCGGGAGAGTGGATAGATCTCTGGGAATCACTTCCTAAAGGGGCAGGGGTAGGGACAGATGAGATATCCAGATTTGACTCTTGACAAACTTTCCCAGGGAGTGAGCTGGTACCACTGGAAGGGCTTCGAGTTCTCTGTACCCTTTACGGAAATGAAGCTAAGACCAAGAAGCTATCGGTCTCCTGTAGGGGGAGGCTGAGCTGCTGCCCACCTCTCTCACACCCCAGTATGACTGCCGAGCACTGAGGGGTCACACCCAGAGAAGAGCCAGGGATGCCTCCACCTCCCAGCCACCAGAGGAAGCCTTCTCTGCCTGTGACCTCACAGCATCATGTTTACAGGGGGGGAGGGGGAGGGGTTTCTATGGGAGCAATAAAGGAGAAACTGAGGCACCTGGCTGGCACTGATCCTGTCCCATCACTGGCACTGGTCATGCCCTGGGGCCCCCAGGTCCCGGGGCTGCAGCCGCACCTGGAAAGGCTGCATCAGAAGGTTCACACCACTGTAGGGCTGGGGCTGCAGAGAGGGCAGGGCACCCTCAGGCAGCAGCGTGAAGGCCTGGAGCAGGTTGGCCAGCACCATGAAGAGTTCCACACGCGCCAGTGGTTCTCCTAGGCACACGCGTGCCCCACAGCCAAAGGATGTCACTTTGGGGTTCTTGCCAGGCTTCAGGAATCGGTCTGTGAGCAGATGGGTGGATGGGACAGGGAGGTTTTTAGCAGTTATGAGTCTCCTCCACCTCCTCTTCTGCCTCCTCCATTTCCTCCTTCACCTCCATGCCTGGCACCAGGCCCCCCACATACCAGGCCAGAACTCCTGTGGCCGCTCCCAGACCATCTCGTCAAGGTTGGCACCTTGGAGGTTAGGGATGATGACTGTATCCTCAGGGATGTCGTAGCCAAGGATGCTGAGGGAAGGTGGAGTTAGAGGCTGACCAAGACCCTTCTCAGGCCTTCCTCACTCATCCCTAACCCTTGGGACTCACCTGCTGGGCCGGATGGTGCGGTGGGGTAAGGCCAAGGGCACCACAGGCCGAAGGCGTAACACCTCTGAGATGGTGGCATTGAGCAAGGGCAGTCGCATTCGGTCCTTATATAGGACCTGGGAGCTTGAAGTCCCGGGCCCCAGTTGGAGATCCAGCTCCTTCTGCAGTCGATGCTGAACCTGTGAGGCAAGGGTAAGCCTGGAGACCAGGGACCAAGCTCCGCTGCTGACCTGACCTCCAGCCACTCCCTCCAGATACCTGGCTGAGCCATTGTGTTCTTTTTGATGAATGTAGCCACCCCCCCACCCCCGCCAGGGTGCAGCACTAAGAGGGAGCTGGCTTCTTCTGACCTTGGCCAAGCTGACAGGAAGGAACCTTTTGCCCGCCCCTGGCGCACACCTCAGGGTAGTGAAGCAAGAAAGCCACAGCCCAGGAGAGGGTGGTCGCTGTGGTCTCAGTGCCACCGATGAAAAGGTCCACCACGGCCATGTGCACGTGCCCTTCAAGGAGCTGTCCAGAACCACTGTCCTCTCTCGGCCGCCCCAGCTCTTGGAGCATGTAGTCTATCATGTCTCTCCACTGGCCTGTCACCAAACTCTCCTACAGAAAGTGGGGGAGTGACTGAGTTCCCAACTCAGGGAGGGATGTGTGGGGGCAGCAGGTCCAAAGGTGGACCCAGCAGTGATGCTGAGGCAGTAGCATCACCGGCCTGGGCTGAAGGGAGCCTGGTCCACTCATGTCACTCCCACCTTGTGCTGCCTCAGCTGCTGCTCTACAATTTTGTCCCTTTTTTCCATGATCTTCTTCAGCTTCCAGACCCCTGGGTTGGGGAAGAACTGGGCAAGGGTAGAAGGGGGAGGCAAGAGTGAGCTGCTGAGAAGGAGGCCTATTCCTCTAGCCCCCACCTACATGTCTGGACTCCACCTCCTCACCTTGAGGAAAGGAACCAAGTCCAAAATTTGGACGGACCAGTGGTTCCAAGCTTTCAAGACATCCTGAACACAGTTATAAATGGCATGTCCCAGGATGTCATCCTGCCAGAAACGAAGGAATACTTTCAGTTTGGGACCAAGGAAGGGTCAGGGAAGGATTGAGGGGGAGGATGGAGGGGAAGGGAGGGCAACCTTTACCTTTTTTCCAAAGGTGAGGCAGCAGATGATGTTACAGGCAAAGAAAGAAAATTCCTTCTGGATGGCCAGGGGGGCACTGGCCTGGACTCTGAGGTGCTGTGGGGGAAGAGCAGGAGCTACACAGGCTGGCAGGGGAGCAAAGGGGCACTATGAGAGAGGGGAGCATGACCCATGGGAAGGGCTGGGCTGCAGGAGCCCAGCTTCACCTCACAGAACTCCTGAGTCAGCTGCTTCAGCAGGGACTCCATGGATTCACGGACACCCAGTAGCAGGGCTGAGCGGGCAAGTTTCTTATGGGCCTTCCAGAGCAGGGAGTAGTCCCCTAGTGACAGGTCTGGATGGTTGTGAGACACCAGCTTGTCTGCAGTGGGAATCACAGGGATGGATGGTAAGAACTGACCACAGAAGCCAAGGACCTGAACTTCTCCTTCCTCCCAAGTCCCTTTCTCCCTCAAGAATGCCCCCAGCTCTTACAGGATGGTACCCGGGGTCTGCCAGCGAAGTCCGCCCACTTTCTGACCATGGCTTCCTCGATGGCCCTGGTGGAGTTCAGCACCACGACATCTGGGGGGAGCCCAAGCAGGTGTCAGGAAGGGCAGGACCCCACCTAGCCTCCTATGGGACAAGGAGGGAGTGAACGCTCACCCTGAAGCCCCAAGCGGAGCCTGTAGATGGGCCCAAGTTTCCGAGTGAGGCTGAGCAGATAGATGGGGAGGTTGGGTTGCAGAAAGTGCAGGAAGCCTGGGGCACGAGGAGGGAGGTGGAAGCCCCTGAGTTTCCTCTGGCCCCACAGCAGGCGGCTGCCAGCCAATAGTGTCAGCAGCAACAACAGCCCAAGAAACAGCATGGCTGGAGACCTATGCGAGGCCCTGTCACAACCACTTATAACTCTTGAGCCCCCGCCTTGTTGCTTGGGTCATTTTGGCAGCCTTCCAGCCCCCACCTTCAGGACCCTTCCCACTGTCCTACCCACAGAGTGACACATTCCCAGGATGGTGACAGTCTTACAGACCTTGGAGATATCACATTTCAAAGGACCTACCATCTATCAAGAAGATAGGAAGGGAAACAAAACCATGACCTTTTTCATCCAGAATCAGCTTTCCAGTTCCATGTCAGCCATGCAGGTCAATGTGTCCATCCCCAGCCCAGGCCCTCACCCTCCATACCCACCTTGGACAATTTTACTGGTTTAAATTTGTCTCCAAGAGAAAAATAACAGTCCCTGCCTACTGTGTCCCTCCAGGATTGTTTGAAGGACAAAATGAGATGAAAATAGGGTTTTCTTTGTTTTTACTTTTAGATACGGTGGCCATATGGCCTAGTTTGCCTGGGGCATCCAAATATATACCTGTAGTCCCTGCAAAACTATTAATAGAGCCTCTTGCACTATCAGAAGTGTCCAGGAGGCAAAGAATTATAGGGGTCATCATTTAGAGCACCTAACATGTAGCAGACTCTGTTCTGTGTGCTTTCCCTGTATAAAGCAACCCTTCACAGACATGCTATACATAGAACACTAGTATTGTTCCCATTTTATAGATAAGGAACCTAAGATGAGAGGCTGAGTGGCTTCCCCAAAAACCAGAACAATCAGAAAGTGGTAGAGGCAGCATTCAGGCTTGTGATCAGGCTGCATAATCTGTACCTTTAACAGCTAGTAGCATCTCTCTTTGGTCCCAAAGAAAAATAACACACCTAAACTTGTGTGTGATAATAATAAAAATTGTCATACAAATACGGAGATGTTTTGCAGAACCCAACAATAGGAAAGCAAGGAAGGGATCTCTGGTCTTGACGACCAGGAATAGGAGGCAGAAAAAAAAAATTCCTGTTGGTGGCAGTTGCCTCCTCTGTCACTCCTCCCCTCTCTCCCCTGCTGGCAGAGGAGAGACATGCTTCCAGGCAGGCAGAGAGGGGTTGCTGTTGGTGCCAGGGTCCACAGGTTACAGGGTCAGACCAAGAAGAGTGTGGATTCCCAGCATTACTGAGCATCAATACCAAAGTCCAGGAAGCAGCACAATAGCCAAAACTGACCAGGGGCTACTCCTCTTCTGGAATTGTAGTCTTAAGGGATGGATTTTCACTGGATCAAGTAACTATCAGGGACTACTTTTGTGAGAAGGTAATTGGGGGCTTAGAAAAGAGGGCTGCCTGGGAGGTGAGAGCTTAGGCTTTCCCCCAACTCCCTAGCTCTGCAGATAGCTCCTGGGACCCAGGGGGTCCCTCTCCCCTGGGGGTTTATCCAGAGCACAGGCTGTGCTGCTAGAGAGCCCCAGTTGAAATCCCAGCGGTGCCACCTACTATCTTGACCTTCCCTGCTGTTTGGGGTCCTAAAAGAGGCTCAGGCTCAGCCTGGATTCATGCCTTGTCATAAAGGGAGACTAGAAGGGTGGGACTTCTGAAGTTGGCAGTGACAGCTGCTGTCCTCTTCATGGTCGACCTCCTAGGCCCGAGCTGTGTCTTGTCACAATTGCAGCTACTGGCAAATGAGTTTATGCTGCCATCATGCAGAATGGCTTCAGGAGAGATGAAATGGCAACAAGAGGGTCACTTAAGCAGAATCCAAGAAAGTGCTGAAGTGCTAAGGAAGGTCAGAACTGCTTGATGTTGCATGGAAGAAGAGGGGTGCTCCATTTGAAAAGAGACTGATGTAGAAAGCTGACACACTGGTGGACATCTCCACCCCAACTCCAACTCCCAAATATGATGAATGACATGCACTCCTTCTCAACCTTCAGAACATAATTTCTGTGTCACCTCTTCTAGGAAGCCTTCCCTGGTCCTCTGGCACTCTCCTTTACTGGACTGGATGCCCCACAGGACCACACCGCTCCCTGACATCACACTTTTCAAAGGATGGGGAGTGTTCATTCTCATTTCTGCTTCCTCCAACAGTGAGCTGGCCACAGGCTGCACACTGGTGGGTGCTCTGGCACAGGAGGAACAGATGGCTATATTTCTGGCATCTGGCACAGGGCATGGCATGGAATTAGAGTTCTGTGAATTTCTGTTGAATGATTGAATGGTGGGCTGCTGGACTGTCTCAGTTGGCATCAAAACTGATCTCAGTAAATTCCCCTGGGTGGATTTCTTAAGGTCACCGCTTAAGATCCCAAGGGTGCAACCAAAGTGGGAGAAAGCTAGGCAAACAGAGTAGAGTGGGTTGGCCCCAGTAGAATAATCATTTCCTTTAGAGTATTAACAAATACATCATAGTTAGCCTTTGGGCTTGTTTAAAATCAGTGTCCAGATGAAGACATCATCATTGGATTGCACAAC